TGCCTAATATGCAGGCTCGTGTTTACTGGCAACTCTATTAAAATCCCACAGATAACGCCATAAAAATCCCCAGAAGGTTTGGATTCTCAGGGGAGTTCCTAGGCGTTCTCTGAAGCTTACATCCTAACCAAGTATCGCAGTTTTCTATCGATTGTAATTGCGATCGAATTCGGCGATGTCATCTGTTTTTGGAGTACGATCGTTTTAATGTTCTCTTTATTCTTGATACTGCCACTTATGAGCTTTTCATTCGGAGAAAACAGCCTTGAGTGACTGTTTGTCTGTGCAGTCGAAAAGGAATGGGAAGAAACCTAAACTTCACATGATCATTGACAACGACGTAGGTCTGACAGAAAGGGTTTCGGGGGAGGCGGAAGAACTTCATCACCATCAAGGACGCATATCCTAGTTGCTACTCGACAGATACATACATCCAAGTACTTCACCAGAGACTGTCATCGGCAAGATGGGATCCAATGTTGAAGCCAAAGCGATCTTATGATACGACACCCATTAACAGTTATTGGATGCGAGTCAAGTGTTGCAGCATAGTCTTCTAGAAAGCCCTCATAGGGTAGTTCTGGGCGTTTTTGAGACCACTAAGGAGAGTGCTGGCCACCTCTCTGTCTTTCTTTGTACCCTTCTCTATTCTAGGGTAGCACTTTAAAGGCTTCAAAAACCGATGACTCAAATATCAGTTACCTTCAGGAAGCCGACCTCTAAATTATAGAAGTGTACGTGATTGCTACAAAGTGATAAACTATTCCAAACTTAGAATTTGACGAAAAAACTGCCTGATATGAGTGGATTGGTTAAAGAGTTGACCCGATGAAAGTGACCAGGTCCACTGAGAGAGAACGCCATTCATTCGCACTCGACAGGAATGCCGAAGCATTTCAGTACCCAACAGTAGAAACTGAGAGTACCTGATAACAAATACCTGATATCGTTAGACTATGGAATAGCTAAATGTTATGATGGTGGTGCTAATCCAATGGGATTTCTCCTCGTGTGTTCGAATCTCAAAGTGATCAAAAGTTTTGCAAAAAACAGAAAACTTCATAGAGGATGTGCGAAAGAGCTCCAAAAACCTGTCGTGATCAGGAGGCCGAGTGGTTAAGGCGATGGACAGCTAATCCATTGGGGTTTCCCCGCGTGAGTTGGAATCTCATCCTGATCGATAATTTTGCAAATTGCAAGAAATATCCACAAGGATGCGTTGTGAAGGATAAAAGTTTCAAAGAGCTCTGAAAATTCATCGTGACAGGTGGCCGAGTGGTTGAGGCGATGGACTGCTAATCCATTGGGGTTTCCCCGCGTGAGTTCGAATCTCATCCTGATCGAAAGCTTTGCGATTTGAAAAACAACTTCGAGATAAAGATGTATTGTAGATTTCAAAGTCTAAAGTGAGCCCTGAAAGGTGTCATGATTCCTTTTTTTTCTTGAGCAAAATGCAAAATGTAATTTTCACGTGAATTTCAAAAATGCGTTGTGGTAGTCGTCACCTTACCCCAACGATTTTTCTCTGTCCCTTCGCTCTGAAAGATTTTCATGAGTGGTAGCAGCACCATATACTACACTGACCATTGGAGCAACGAGGAGAATGTTGGGAAGGCGGTGTAATTATCGACATGATCCTGTTATCATCAATCCGAAAGTATAGCCCCGGGAAACCTTCGGCTAGCTTGTTTTGGGCATTTATCTAATCTTGTACCTGGCTGTTGTGTGCACGGCATCGTTCAGTTAGCCCCTTGATGGCCACAAGTGACCCTTCCGGTAGAGCAGTATCGCGAAAGATAAAAAAGGAGACGAAATCTGTTAACTGGGGTTCGAATACCCTATTCAGCTAGAACCCTTTGAGAAGGAAACACACATGGGCATGAGCCATCTGTGCGATCAACATCCATTTTGGAGAATCCAGTGCGTGCTCATACACGATAGCAAACAGCCAATTGATCTACCGTTCTATGACCATCACGAGCAGTAATACTCGATATTCTGCAACCCCTTACTTCCACAGCTTTTTTTCTTTGTGCCCTCTCCACGAGAAACCTCCCACGAGGGAAATTAATTAAAGTGTACGGTGCACATGATAATAAGTCTTGGAGGAGGCCTTTGGTTGGCGGGTGGTCGGCACCACCGACCCACTCGGATGGGTGTTCATCGTTGATCGGTGCCTCCCCACCCACCCACCAAAGGCCTCCTCCAAGACTTATTACCATGTGTACCGTACACTTTAGTTAATTTCCCTCGTGAGATATTTCTCGGGGAGAGGGCACAAAGAATAAAAGCTGTGGAAGAAAAGGAGGTAGAATATCGAGTAGTAATGCTCGTTCTGGTCACAGAATGGTAGATCAATTGGCTGTTTGCTGCTGTGGAATATCGAATAAATTGAAAACGTGTAGCTGGTTTGAGATATTTACCAACTACCACGCCTCTTTTTTCGCCTTTACTAGTTACCTAAATACAATTTGTTAGCTGTCTATCTGTTGCTGTATCAAAAATTTCCTGGCGCACAGCGAACACTCTAACACCGTAGCCCTATCAATTTGTCAAATGGCGGCTGATCCTCGTAACTTGGTGGCATGGTAGTGCGCTCCTACTGCTCCTTCTTTGCCGTTGAATCATAACCGAGTAATGTTCTTTTGGAAATTTTTGCAAAATTCTTCTAACGCAACAGAAAACGGTGCACCAGTCAGATACTGAACCTCGGTCTGGTTTACATGTCGCGACCATAGCCACTGAGCCATCGACAGACATCTCTTTCTTGTAAACCGCTCCAACTCAAGGGAATCCTTTACAATCCGCAAGCATGACTTGGTCAATACCGGCAAGGGCTTCGACTCAACTCCGGCTGTTGTGCAGGCATCCACCCCATCACTTTCCCATCGACGCACAGCTCCCCTTTCTTCACAGCATGGTTTTCTTTGCGCCTTCTCTCCAAAAAGCCTTCAGGCTAGCAGAGTAGTGTGTCATACGGCACACATAACGAGGTCATTGTGAGGAAATGGTGATTTCAGCGAAGAGTGGAACTTTATTTACCCTATTGTTACCAGCTCTTGGAAATTTTCCGATGATAAGTGGAGAAAACATTGTTGCGGGGAGGGTGGCTCTCCATGACACACGGTACTGTTGTGCGATGTTCTGATCATCAAAACTGGATGATCAATCGCTGATTCAACGCCGTGTCGGCTACTGACTGATGATAAATGAATATTGGGGATTATACAGTATATACCGTATGCCAGTACACCGGCTTCCGCGTATGCCAGTGCACCGACTCCGTCGTATGCCAGTGCACCGGCTTCCGCGAATGTCAGCGCACCGGATCGTCGTATGCTAGTGGATCACCTAACCACAGTGAATCACCTATACCACAACGGTGCAACACCGGGTGAGTTCCACTGCAACTCGACCCTCACCTTGGAGGATGCACTTCCGGCAAACCCGCCTATGGATTCGATTTTCCACACTATTCTACTATGTGTGCCGTATACTGTGCTACTTTTCTAGCTTGAGGGTCTCAATGAAGAGGGCGCAAAGAAATAAAGATCGTAAGGAGGGGTTGGAAGCAGAATATCGAGTGGTATTGCTCGATATGGTGGTCATGGATTGGCAGATCAATTGGCTGTGTGCTGCCGTGTAGAGGCACCCACTAGCTTACTGGAATTCAGTATTTAAACCCTGGAAAGCAGATTTTGCTTCTTCTGGTTCATCTTTTCCGATATCTCCTCAGTCGAATGGTCAATCGCTGGGTATTGGAGTGTTTGTGAAAGGAAGGCGTTACATGAATTTGAGAGGTAAAATGAGTGATAAATCAACCAAGGCCCTGCTTATAGAAAGTTTCAAGGGTACTCGACAAATATTTATTTAATGCTTAGGAATCTTCTAGAACAAATAGTTCATTCGTACCAATATTGTAGGAAACTAAATAATTGGATATTTTATTATAATTTCACTAGTCTTTTTACTTTGTGAGATCGAGATCCCTGAAACAACTTCCGATCCATGAACTATATAAGACTAACGTTGTCTAAACCGCCAGATTGGGCGACTAGCCCCAAAATATGACGTGCTCTTCTGGCTTGAGGGCATGTTTGGTGCGTCTCCGTAACGTAAAGGATAGGAACAGTCCTATTCAAGAAGTTTCTGGGTATCACGAGAACAGGTGTGTATGTAGGAGAGATTGTAGGCAATGTTGATAACGTCTGAAGATTGGATCGGCGCCGGCCATTTCCGCTAGAAGTAGAATGGAATTGGAGTCTGAAATCACCTCAGAGCAGTAGAACCGGTATTCTTTGTAACCACGAACCCTTTTCAACATTCAAGGCAATCATGGTAGTATAAATCCGTTTACAAATATTCAACATGGCTATTTAAATACATGTTTATTTGTTTATTTTCTGACAAAACTAGAAGACTGCTTTATCCACAAATGCATACTATTTCTACAGATTCACATATACATTGCCTACAAAATAAGAATCCATTCGAGCGCAAAAGGCTTATAAACATTGTTGATTGCAGTTGTGATCAATAAAAACATGAAGGTAAAAGTATCGCAAAGAATATTCGCCATAAACAGGAAAAAAGTGAATGAAGTGATCATAATCTTGATAGCAGAGTAGAGAGGTGTGATTGCTCCAGAATGATTGGTTTCCCGAGATCCAACAGCAGCCTACTAGCCTTTATAACCAACATTAAAAGCTCAGAGTTTCCTCACTCTTTCTGTGCAGCCTGAAAGTACGAGTTTGCAATCACTTGGAGTATTACAACCTATCAAAAAATATCATACCAAGTATTCGAAACCTTTCCGACAATCCTTTTCGACGATTTTTGGACTTTCCGACAAAATAGCCGACCCAGGAAGAGCCCAGGTCCGTTCATGCAAGACCTGAATATCACTCCCTTGACTGAGTAGTACGGTAGCAGTGAAAGAATCCGTTTATATAATAGAAGTTTTAATGTAATGAGTGGTCGGATAAAGTAAGACAAGCAGTTCACCGTTGTTGTTCATATCCACAAAACTCTTCGTCCTTGGCATCGAAACAGTCCGGGTTCCCGTCACATATCTATAAGCACAGAAAATTCAAAGTTCTGAAGGCAGTAAAAAGCTGTTGACGGAAATCCGCAGAAAATTGCAGACCTTAGGCGCTGGAAGACAAACAATCCCAGTAACATTACGGCATGTGATATCGGGAGCTTGACAATGGGCTTCGAAAATTTCGCATTGAAGGCTGTAATGATAAGCAAATGCTTGAGGAAAGTTTGAATAGTGAAAAATTATTTGAAATAAAAACAGACAGAATTTCGAGTCGCTAAGAGATTGATAGGGAAAAGTGTCGTCCTCATAGGATCTGAATTAGTGAAAGGTATCAGAGAAAACGATAGAGATGACGCAGTAAACCAAAACATTCCCACGCCTATGGCAAGGAGCGGGACTTCAAGGCAGCTACCGTATCCTCCAGTGTATTTTACCCTTCCCCTTCATAGCGCGTTATCGGCGGCAGAACAACCTACATTCGGAGAACGGGTGATAAATCCAGCAAAGCTTAGCAGCTGACATATAAAAAAGCTCTACAACACCTTATTAGACTTATTAGATAGAATAGTGCACCTCCAAAATTAATTCTTCCTATCTTATCCATCTCAATACCCCCATTTATCCGTTACCCACTTCGAATTATCCTCCCAGACCATCGCAAATTACAGGATGAAAAGCTGAAGAAAAAAGCAAAACCCAAAAGAATGGAAGGGGAGGTAGGGAGGCATGAAAGAGGAGTGTAGTGACTAGCAAATTCCTTGAATGAACAACTTGCTTTTGTTAAGAAAGCGATCACTCGATCCTGAGCTGTATTGAGCATTTGTTATGAACTTCGATATCATTGATAAGAAAAATCGTTCAGTTTTAATTGAAAATCGATAAGTAGTGAAAATTAATAGGCAAAATTCTCAGCTCATCGCAGCACAACGTGCCGCGCTTGGGAAAGGAAATACTTGGAATAGCTAGACTACTCTTCTCGGAATTTACAATTTTATTACCAAATGCTCGAGGAAAAAGCTGTAGGAATGCAGACAGAAGCTTTGCAAAGAAACGTTGAAAACCTGCCTGTACGGTATTAACCATCCAATTCTTATACATTTACGTACAAATCTAGATCTTCAGTCGTTTTCAGAGAAAATTCGACTCTGATGGCCATCATCAGAGAAATAGTCAGAAATAGAACACGAAAACTCACAAAAATGCTCATGCTCATCGCTGGCATCGGCACAATCGGCCACACCGTCACATTCGAAATGTCCGGCTATACAAACTTCATCATTACGACAACTGAACAAGCCCAGTGCACACTGTTTACCATCTGAAATCAGTTCAATAACAATTCGTGCACACGTAAATGGCTGCTTTCATAGTCCGCCGGCCGGCCGGCCGGCCGGCGTGCAGGCGTGCCGGCGCGCGTGCCGGCGGAGGCAGTGCTAGGGGGGAGGAGGGAGGCAGACAGTGTAAGGCAAACAGTCCACGCCCCTTCGAAGGTTGCTTGTTTTCAACCCCTCGAAGGGGCGTGGACTGTTTGCCTATCTGTCTGCCTCCCTCNGCTGTATTGAGCATTTGTTATGAACTTCGATATCATTGATAAGAAAAATCGTTCAGTTTTAATTGAAAATCGATAAATAGTGAAAATTAATAGGCAAAATTCTCAGCTCATCGCAGCACAACGTGCCGCGCTTGGGAAAGGAAATACTTGGAATAGCTAGACTACTCTTCTCGGAATTTACAATTTTATTACCAAATGCTCGAGGAAAAAGCTGTAGGAATGCAGACAGAAGCTTTGCAAAGAAACGTTGAAAACCTGCCTTTAGGCATTAATCATCCAATTCTTATACATTTACATACAAATCTAAATCTACAGTCGTTTTCAGAGAAAATTCGACTCCGATGGTCATCATCAGAGAAATAGTCAGAAATAGAACACGAAAACTCACAAAAATGCTCATGCTCATCGCTGACATCGGCACAATCGGCCACACCGTCACATTCCAAATATCCGGCTATACACTCTTCACCATTACGACAACTGAACAAGCCCAGTGCACACTTTTTACCTTCTGGAATCAGTTCAATATCAATTCATGCACACGTAAATGATGGATGTTTATAGGCACGAACTACTCACGACACTTCTGCTCATCTTGACCATCCACGCAATCTTCGACACCGTCACATACGGCGCTTCTTCGGATGCATCGTTGTTCACGACGGCAGAGGTAAAAATGAGAATAAAAAAAGAATAGAAATAAGAATAAAAATAAGAATAAAAATAAGTGATAAACTGACCATGACCATCAATAAGACGAAGATGTGAGCAGGAACTCTTCCAGGAACAAACCAAAACCAAAAGCAAAACCAAAACCAAAACCAAAACCAACCACCAAAACCAACCACAAAAACCAACCACCAAAACAAACCTCCAAAACC